GCATCGCGGGCAGCTTTGCCCTCTGGAAAAGACTTGGTCTGGCCATAGCCAAAGATCTGGCTTCCAGGTAACCTGTGATCCACATCACGATACTCCATGCTTCTATAATCAGTGTCTTGTTGGCCAAGAAAGTCCAGATCACCCTTTTCTTTAAACACACCAGCATCTGAACTCTGTTGTTCAGCTCCAGAAAGCTGTGACTTGTCTGAGTCTTGAATTGGACTTTGACTCTTCTGAAAATCCGAAGGAGGCTCATGTTCAAAGGCAACACCTTGTGTTTCTCCTTCTCGTGTTTCTGAATGCTCAAATTCTCCCTTCTGAATGCCAAAAGTAGGCCTTTCTACAGTGCGGTCATGTGTGGATTCTTCTCTCTTATTCACGTTCATACAAGAATGTTCTCTATCTTGTGTAGAGGTCTGCATGTAATCCAAAAGTTTTGGATCCACAGGAGGCATCTCCCTATCTTTAAATTCCATACAAGATCCCATCTCTCTGCCCCTAAAATCCTGATCAGTCCTGGACCGGTGTCTACCTCTGAAGTCTGAATGTGGTGTATCCCTGTCCCTAAAGTCTAGATCAGTAGTACCTGAACCTCGGCCTCTAAAGTCCACCTGTGTTCCGTCTTTATCCCTAAAGTCCAAATCCGATATATCTCTATTCCTAAAATCAGAACGGGACTGATCTCTGGTCCTGAAATCCAAATCCGATAAATCTCTTCCTCTAAAATCTGCATGGGATCCATCCCGTCCTCTAAAATCTAAATCATAAGTGCCCCGGCCCCTATAATCAGATGGAGGATCCCTGCCTCTGAAGTCAACAGTGTGAGCATCCCTCTCTCTGTAGTTCATATGAGGTGTCTCTCTACTTCTAAAATCCATAGAAGTACCATCCCCTCCCCTATAGTCCATTGGTGGTCCTTCTCTATCTCGAAAATCCCCAGAATGCATGTCCCTACCCCTGAAGTCCAACTGTGAAGAATCTCTACTCTGGAAATCAGAAGATGAAAAATCTCCTCCCCTGAAATCATGTCCTGGTCCCTCCCCTCCTCGATAGTCACCATGCGGTCCATCTCTAGCTCCATAGCTGAAAGAATGCTCCTCTACATTTGCAAAAGGAGGCCCCGAATGCCCCTGGAAATCAAAGGGAAGTGAATCTCTGCCAGGAAAGTTGCCAGAGTGTCTCTCTTGAGCATGACTCTTAAGGGGAGGAGGAGGATAATCCCTGTTCCACCCGGGAGCAAACCTTTCTTCTTGGCTCCCACTGTAGAAACAAAGACAGTGTTACTCATATTGTCCAGAGAGTTTGAAATCTACACACCAGCATATTCTTCTCTAATCACAGCATATTCTTCTGTAAACATTTTTTTTTTTTTTTTTTTTTTTTTTTGGCAGAGTTCTGTAACAAGGTCCTAGATCTGCAGAAAACAGCAAAGCTTTGCTATCTTAAGACGAAGTCATGGAGTAAAGTTTTATGCTCCCATTTCAGAACACGAGGAAAGTCAACACAAGGTTTTCAACATGACTGCTGCAGAAAAAGCTTTCACCCAGTCCTGCAACAGGGAAAATCCGCAATACCATATAAGCTAACAATGTGACATTACAAAAATTTCCATTTCCTATAGCCAGGGAACTTAGAATTCCAAGGTCAATATGATGATTCCTATATATCAGGAAAAAAATCAAGGCACTTTTAGTTTCTTACAGTAAGTTTCAAGGTGTACCCTTCTCATTGCTGCATCCAGGGGTAACATTCCAAAATATTTCATTACAGCTATAGCAAAAAACCACCCATTTGAAATGGATGCAGACCTAAAAGAAATGAACACTGGTTGTATATCAACCAGTAGCAGAAGCACACCGGCGTTCACCAGCTGAGTATCACCCTGGCATCTAAATCCCAGTTCTACAATTGTTCCACCCAGAAGTGTTCTCAGCTGGATCCTATTACTATACCCAAGGGTAGCACAGAAGGCAGCATGAATCATGCTACAAAGCATGTGTAAGTCACCTAAGTCAAGCAATAGCACCCAAGAGCTTAAAAGGACCTAGAGACAGCATTATACAGGTCTTTAAGCATTATCCTCATGTCCCAAATGAGGAAGCTTAGATATTTCAGATTCCAGTGCCTCACATACTAATTTTTCACAATAGTAAAAAGTATTTTTAAGCTAGGAATAGTATTAACAGTAACACATTCTCAGTTTACAGAATTTAAGAGATAAACAAGAACTGGTACAATGTTCTATATTTTGGCTTTGGTCAACAATTAGGAAATTTAAATAGGCAATTAGGGATTACTGGATGGATACATATGATTACTGGATGGATACATATGAAAAAGAAAACAAAACGATGAATGGGTTACCTGCTGTTTAGCAGTAAAACAAAAACTGTACTATAACACCAACACAGTTCTCTCCTCCCAGAACACAATTTCTATTATAAGGGACCCGTCTGACTTCAGACTACATCATATAATAAAATTTAAAAAAACACAACTGATTTCCAAGTCATTTAGTTCAAGAGTAAAGTTTAAACTAACAGGAATTTACCATTAACCTAAAAACTAGAATAATGTACATTTAATGGATTTTAGAACATAGCAACTTCCATTGATTACCATTAACACTAGTTACATCTATGTGATTCATCCTAAGACAAGCAAATTTAATGATTTTCATAAATAATACAATTTAACACTAAAATAAAGATGTTATAATTAACTATAGGGTCTCAGATATTTAAAAATCTTTTTTTTTTTTTTTTTTTTTTTTTTTTTTTTGCAGTAGTAGGGATTGAACTCAGGACCCTGCACTTGCCAGGTAAGTGCTTATTCTACTGAGCTATCTCCCCCGACCCCCGGGATATTTAAAAATCATTCAATGCCTGGGAGATAGCTCAGTGGAATAAGCCCTTCTCTGGCAAGTGCAAGGGCCTGAGTTCAATCCCTGGTTTTGCCAAAATAAAAACAAAAACAAAAAGTCTTAAAATCATTCAAGGCCTTCTAATTAGCTTGCTGCAAGACTTAAGCCTTTTCAGACGCTCATGAGATGTGGGCTAAGCCATCTAAACTTAAATGTTTTCTGACAAGAATGCATCCAACACTGCCTTTGGATACTCCCTTAGAAATCTCACTCTTGGGGCTGGTGAGATGGCTCAGTGGTCTAAAGCACCTACTTGGAACAAGCTTAGCAAAGCATAGGGACCGCGGTTCAATCCCCCAGCCCCACATGCCAGCCAGCCCCACCCCCAGGTAGGCTGAACTGACCACACACACACACACACACACACACACACACACACACATAAATAAATAAATAAATAAATAAGAAATCTCACTCTTGTGGGGGCCGGGGAGGTGGCTCAGTGAAATAAGTGCTTCCCTGGCATGAGTAAGGGCCTGAGTGCAATCCCCAGTTCCACTAAAAAAAAAATCTCACTCTTAGGCCAGCGAGATAGCTCAACAGTCTAAAGTGCAAGCACAGGGACCGAGTTCTATGAGTTTGATCCCAATCCCTAACACCAAGTGCTGTGCCAGCCCTGCCCCCAGGGCGGGGTAAACCAGCCACAAAAAAACAAATACTCTCACTCCTCTAAGATCAAAGAAATTTAGAATAACTTACTGTACTGCAGTCCTCTAATCTGTATTTTATGGACACTAAACAAGAAACAGTGCTATCAATATAGCAACGGCTATGAAAATCATTTTCAACAAAATAAAAAATTTAAGAAAGTTGTTTTTTTTTTTTTTTCAGTACCAGGGATTGAACTCAAGACCTTTTGTTTGCCAGGCAAGCGCTTATTCTATTGAGCTATCTCCCCAGGCCCAAAGAAAAGTTTTTCTAAGAAAATAAAAATAATTTTCTTGGCCTGAGGAGATAGCTCAGCGGCATAAGTGCTTATCTTGCAAGCACAAGGTATGGAGTTTGATCCCCAGTACCACAAGTTATGAGGGCCCTGGAACCCGGGGGTTGCTGTGCTGCCCAGAAACTGGGTGTGCTAGGGAGGCTGAGACAAAAGCATCACTACGAGTCTGAACTGTGTAGTGAGACCCTATATCAAATAAATAAATAAATAAATAAATAAATATTTCTTGCAAGATACCCCCAAAAGAAAATGCTAGGGGGCCGGGGAGATGGCTCAGTCGAACAAGCGCTTCCCTGGCAAGCGTAAGGGCCTGCATTCAATAACTGGTTCCACAAAAAAAATAAATAAATAAAATAAAATAAAACAAAATAAAATGAAAATGCTATATAAACTACATCTTCTTCTAATCCAAGTTTTTGTTTTGTTTGGGGTTTTTTCCTCCTGTGGAAGGGAGGGTACATAGGGATTGAGCCCATTCTAGGCAAGCAGCACTGAGATACAGCTTTATCCCTTTTTTTTATTTTGAGACAGGTTCTCACTAAACTTCCTAGGCTGGCCTTGAACTTTTGATCATTCTGTCCCCATGACTCAAATAACTGAAATTATAAATGAGTGCTACTGCAGCTGGTTAATCAAAGATTTTAAAATGGGGCTGGGGAGATAGCTCAGTAGGATACCTGCTTGCCTGGCAAGTGCAAAAACCTGAGTTCAATCCCAGGTTCTGCAAAAAAAAAAAAAAAAAAACCTTTCAAAGATTTTAAAATCAGGGGTTAAAATAGCTCAGTGGATTAAAGCGCCTGCTTAGGCAGACGCAGGGGCCAGGAGTTCGATCCCCTGGCCTGCTGTGGTGGCCCGGCCCCGGCCTCAGCCTCAGCCTCAGCCTCAGCCTCAGCCCCAGCCCCAGCCCCAGCCCCAGCCCCAGCCCCAGCCCCAGCCCCAGTCCCAGTCCCAGCCCCACCCCTGGGGTGCACTGAAAAGGCGATTCAGACTGGGCATGGTGGCACACACCTATAATCCCAGCACTTGGGGGGCTGTAAACAGGAGGATCACTACCAGTCCAGTCTACACTGAGGCCCTGTACACCCTGTCCTAAATACAAAAATAAATATATAAATAAAATAAAATTAGGAGCTGGTACTCACTTTGCCAGCATGTATACTAACATTGAAAAGATATAAAGATTAACACGTTCTCTGTATAAGGATGACATACAAATTCATGAAATGTACCATATCTTTAAGAAAATATGGTATTTATACACAATGGAGTACCACTTTCTTATATAAAAGAATAAATTTTAAGGGGCTGGGGAGATGGCTCAGTGGAATAAGAGCTTCCCTGGCAAGTGCAAGGGCCTGAGTTCAATCCCTGGTTCCGCAAAAAAAAAAAAAAAAAAAAAAAACACCCAAATTTTAGTCATCAGACACATAAGCTTAACTATCATGTGGTTTCTCTTATTATGAGAATCAAAATAAATAACAAATAAATAATAACAAAATAAAAGATATAATAGGAAATGGAAAGATTAATAAGGAGAGCAGGCTGGGAAGATGGCTCAGCAGAATAAGTGCTTCCCTGGCAAGTGCAAGGGCTTGAGTTCAATCCCTGGTTCCACAAAAAAAAAAAAACAAAACAGAGAGAGATCAAGAGATGGAAAGGGGAGGAGATGAAAAAAAAAAAGAGTGTGTTATATACATGTACCAACTCCCCACAATGAGTGCAATCATCATGTACTGCAAACATATACTAATAAAAATTAAAATTAACAATAAAATCAGGGGCTGGGTGTATAGTGGTGGTACAACACATACTTGCTGGGTTTGATACCCTGAGTTCTACACTGGGTGTATTCCCTAGCACAAAACCAAAATTCTCAAAAATGAAAATAAGAAAGAAAAAAAGAGAGGGGGGCCAGGAACATAGGTTGGTGGCACAGCACCTGCCTGACAAGAGTAAGGTCATGACCTCAATTCCAAGGCCACAAAACAAACAGGGGCTGGTGAGATGGCTCAGTGGTCTAAAGCACCTACTTAGAACAAGCTTAGCAAAGCACAGGGACCGCGGTTCAATCCCCCAGCACCACATGCCAGCCAACCCCGCCCCCTGGTGGGCTGAGCTGGCCACACACACACACACACACACACACACACAAATAAATAAAAATTTAAAAAAATAAAATAAATGAAAGAGACAAAATGCCTATCATAAGGATGAATAAAACTAAATTTTAAAAAAACAAACAAAAAAGCATGTAACAATTCACATTTAAAATGAGAAAAATACAAATATTAATGTACAGAACTGATGTGGTGGCACACGTGTAATCCCAACAATAAGGCAGGAGGATCCCTTTGAGTTCCAGGCCAGCCAGGGATACAAAGTGAGTTCAAGGCTAGTCTGAACTGCACAGCGAAACCCTGTCTCAAAACAAATGGAGGGCTGGTGAGATGGCTCAGTGGTCTAAAGCACCTATTTAGAACAAGCTTTAGCAAAGCCCAGGGACCACGGTTCAATCCCCCAGCACCACATGCCAGCCAGCCCGCCCCTGGTGGCTGAGCTGGCCACACACACACACATACGCAAATAAATAAATAAAATTTAAAAAAAAAAAAAATAGCTTAAAACAAAGGGAAAAAAAGTCTAAAGCATAAATCCACTGATCCCAGAGCAGTGGTTAATAGACTATTTTATAAAGAGCCAGATATGGGGTTGGGGAGATGGCTCAGAATAAGTGCTTCCCTGGCAAGCGCAAGGATCTGAATTCAATCCCCGGTTCCGTCAAATAAATAAATAAATAGCCAGATAGTAAATATATTAGCTCTTTCTGGGTCATACAATCTCTATAATAGCTCTGCAACTGTCACTAGAACATCAAAGCAGCCGTAGACAACATGTACATAACTGAGTCACAAGAACATTTTATTTAAAAACAGTCCTTGAGCAACAGTTTGCTGATAAGTGATCTAAAGCTTAACATATATTGAAAGAAAAAACATACCCAGCACTACTACTAAGAATTGGAAGACCTCAAAAAAGTAGACCTTTTTTATTTACCATTTATGAAATGTTAGTTGTACTAAATATTACATAGAAGTTTCTCTTTTTTTAACATAGATTTGCTTTTTTTTTTTCTTTTTTCATGGCAGACTCATCCTACCCTGAGGCCAGGGCTGGTGTGGCATGTGGTGCCGGGATCAAATTGTGGTCCCTGTGCACTTGCCTAAGCAGGCGCTTTAGACTGTTGAGCTATTGCACTGGCCCTTAACATAATATTCTCTTTCTTTCTTTCTTTCTTTCTTTCTTTCTTTCTTTCTTTCTTTCTTTCTTTCTTTCTTTTTGTGGTACCGGGGATTGAACTCAGTACCTTGCACTTGCCAGGCAAGCGCTTATTCTACTGAGCTATCTCCCTGGCCCCTATTTTCTAAAATTAATTTTTTCCTAAGTTTTCCATTGAAACCTAAAAGCTTCAGAATAATGAATGCTCATACGGAGATGTTAAACAATATTTCACTGACTGCCAATTCAAATAAAAATTTACTAGCAACAAGTTTCAGTTGGAACATCAATACTCAATTTGTTTGTTTGGTTTTCTTCTTTTCTTACTTGACACATTTTTGTGTTGTTTTGCAAGTTCTATGTAATCCAGGCTGGCTTCAGACTATGGCAATCTTCTTGCTTCAGACCTCTGGGGTGCTGGGGTTATAGGAGAGTACCACCACACCCAAATCACATCAGTATTTATGACTATATAAATTTAAATCAGATTTCTTTGCCATATACCAAAACATACATTCACATAGTATTTCACTAACTGTAAATACAATACAGGCATAAAAATTTTAAGAATATTATCAGGGGTTGGGGAGATGGCTCAGCAGAATAAGCGCTTCCCTAGCAAGCACAAGGGCCTGAGTTCAATCCCCAGTTCCGCCCAAAAAAAAAGAAAAAAGAAAATTAATTCCAGAACGGTATTGGCAAAGGAGGGAGGATTGTTTGAGCTCAGAAGATTAAGACAAGCCCAAGAAATTTAGCAAGACACTGTCTCAAAACATATATATATATATGTTTGGTTTCTTTTTTTTT